GTTTGCTTCTAGGTACAAGTAAAATGCAGTTTATTTCAGAGAAGGGCAATGTCAGCATCAAAGAACCATCAGTTAAGGATAAATTATCTCACCTCATTAGCAGATGGAGAAACTGCAGGTCAGGAGTGGGGGAATACTGACAAAGAGAAGCTCAGGGCTAAATAAGGGGACACTTATGAAATTTAAATCTATAGATCGGCTGAATAGAACGGGTCCTCTTCTAAAACTGGAGCATTTTTCCCAATTTAACCAAATTATCTTCTCTAAATGTAGGAAAAATGGACTTTTAAAACTGCATCTTAACACACTAGTATTACTAGCCAAAGGAATGAAATAATGAAAAAATGCACACAGATAGAAGAAAACTTTTAGTATGGAATAGAGAATTAGGAGCTGAGGTAAGTAGCAGTGACCAGGTGATAGAACAGGAGGAGCTAAGGCAAAGGATTTTATTTCAGTTTTTACACCTGCTTGTTTCAATGTCCCCTTAGTGTTAAGTTCCCAAAGGAGAGGAAGAGAAACCCTATCCTGTATTGAGATCTATGCTGGAGGTGAGCAACAGGGCAGGGCGTCGGTTCTGTATGTCCATGTTCTCACTAGACAACAGACAGCACGTTAGGAAATTGCACACAGGACAGAAGGAGGCAATTTATCTCTGAGCAAACTCGTCCACCCCTTCAACTAGCAAATCCTGAACCTTGCTGAGAACTAAGCGGTACTCTGCAAAAGGAAGGAGAATGGAGAGTTAATCAGCTTTTGGTTTGTTAAGGCTACTGAACCTGCATTTTAAAATAAAGTAACTCAATCTACTAAGGTACCCAGTTGACATATAACCCCAACTCCTCCTGTTTGGTCCCATCTCTATCTCTGGATAAGCTTAGATTTTACAACTGACTCCATTTTAGGAAGCGTGGCAGCCCTGGACCAATGAAAGGGCTGTTTTTGCCACAGACTTCACATTCAGTGCTTTGCAGACTCTATGTAATTTTTTTTGGGGGTGTGTGTGTGTGTGTGTGTGAGGCAATCAGGGTTAATGACTTTCCCAGGGTCACACAGCTAGTAAGTGTCAAGTGTCTGAGGCCGGATTTGAACTTAGGTCCTTCTGACGTCAAGGCCGGAGCTTTATCCACTACGCCATCTAGCTGCCCCCGTAATTTTTTTTTTTTTTAAAAAACCTTCTCTTTACCTGAGGACATGACTATCCCAAAACGCATTGTAATTTGATTTTTCCCCTACTTACTGGGCTGATTTGAGTTTAAATGTGGTTCTTTCTAAAAAAAAAAAAAAAAGGAATGAATGACTTCTCAGGATACCTTCTCGGCTTGATCTATGGATTTATGCTTCTCTTACGAGTCAAGCTGAAGCCACAGAAGTGTACTTACGTGTACGGATGAGAGATAAATCTTTTTCTTTTATCTTGGGTAAACATACATGAGAGGTGATATAGAAATTAAGTAATATAGAACTCATTAAGAACACAGGTTATAGATCTAGATGTCTAGTATCGTTGCAAATCTCAAAATGCAACTACTGATCTACTCATTAGCATGTCTATTTTCACAGAAATTAGGAGAAAAAAAAGAAATCATAAAGTCCCAAACTGTTCACCTTAGGATAAGACAAAATTCTACTCAGATCTCACCTCATGGAGAAAGCCTTCTCATGGTGGGTGCATAAAGTGAGAATGCCTACCTCCCCCAAAACTTCTAATTTGAGTAATCATTATCCCCTATGATGTCCACATCTAGCCTACCAAAAGAATGAGAAAACAAAAATAGGAAAAGGGGGGGGGAGGAGCTTAACCTAATCATAACATCACTTTTCTTATGTCTGGATGATGTTCTTACAAAGGATGTATGCTCTCTGTGCGATGGAATAAAAATTCCAAAGAGCAGGAAATGTGATGTATGGGTGTGTGGGTGTGTGTGTTCTAGATAATATTCTGTATTATGGGAGTATATCATGCACCATCATCATGCACAATGCAGTGACTATTATTTATTCTAATGGATTTGAAAATGGCAGGACTCATTTCTAGAAGTGATACAGTCAGACAATACTAAGAAGACCTTGACTAACAGAAGACTACTGCAACTACTATTTTGACCATCTTCCTAATGAGGAGAGTAGCACTAACAATGGATTTTTTTGAGACTAGTCAGGCTGTAATCCTGGCTAGCATTATCAACTTCTAAGGTAACATTTAAGGAAACAATGAGGGCCGAGAGGTATAGGGCCAAATGATGCAAAAGATAACCCACGTTAGGATGCTTGTGAATGAACCAGGTTATCAGGAACAGGCACTCCGACAAATCTTGTGTTAATTTCCCCCGCTATTTTAACAAAATTGATATCCTGAAAAATAATCTGCACTGTATTTATAAGGATAATTAACTGCTTAGATGAAAACACACAACTTTATATGTGTGCGCATGTATATACATATGTATACATATATACAAGTGTGTGTGTATATAAAATGTGTATGTGCATATTTATATAGAGATTACCACCAAGATGAGGGATTTGGAAAGTACACACATATAATACTATTAAGAATACAGTATGTGTTCTCAGAGCACATTAACCAAAATGTTAAAGATACTGGGTATAACATAACATTCTGGATTTGTAATTACAATCAAGAACCAAACAAGAACCAAACTCCATACAACTCAACACAACTGAACTGAACTGAAGTTCACACGATAATTAATTTTGTAACTGCTGTTAATGAAGATTTTCATCAAGATCAGGAAAGAGAAACCAATATGGCCATCTGAACTCTCTTTAAAGGAGGCCCCAGATTATTTATGTCCTTCACACTAAGTAGGCAGCCCTGGCTTTGCTAGCCAAACAGTAGTATCAGCACAGTGGAATAATTTTCCACGAAATGAAGTAGAAAAAAAATAGTAAAAATGGTATTTTAAAATATATATACTGTTTCTTCTTGACCAATTCCTACTCTCTAAGGAACTCTGTATGTTGCCTAGAGTTATACTTTCATAATATAGATGAAAATACCCAGGTACAGAATGATTTAACAACTTGTCTTAGGTCATATGATAACCGGAAAATGATAGTTGGACTCCTTTCTTTGCCAGATTATATCTTGAGTACAAACCAAGCCCCTACCACAACCATTTGGTGCTCTACCAAACAACTGCTTTATGCTTAGTAAAGATCCACTTCAGAAATCACCTCTCCATCATAGATACTCATGATGGCTAAGATTGTGAGGAAGTATTTTGATAGTCTTGAAGGCTGAATACATGGTCTACTTACAAGGTAGAACATATAACATATTTTCTTCATTTAGATGTCTGAGAGGAGAGGGTGGTTGGCCGATTATTAAAATTGTACTGATAAACAATCTCAGATGCTTGTATGAGTTAATAAATTAAAAGTTAATATTATATTCATAGTTTTAGAGGGAATACCTATCCCAATGATGAATACAATCCTGATGTATCATCTCACACTGACTTTAAAACCTAAAAGCTAATTTAATTTAAATTAGTACTTGATTTTCAGAGATAAGAAACAGATACAAGTGGCTACAATTGGATTTTTTTTTTTATAAACACCAGGAAACCACCAAGGATATGAATAAAATGTCAGCGAAACTACAGAGTAAGAAAGTCAGAGTATAAAAACTCCAGTACGAAAGATCAACTCACTACATAGCAGAAAGAACTTCACTCAGCAAAGACATACTAGAATTTGTCTGCTAGAAGGTAGGGTAAATGTTGTGTTACTGTGGGAAATTCCAAACCCTTGGTTTACATGATACTATTAACCCTGGACTGTGGAAGGCTATGCCAGTGAAGTGTAAGCTTTATAATGTTAGAAAGGCTTCAAGCAAAGTCTCAGCAACATACTGAGGCCCTTGTCTAAGGCCTAACCTAAAGACAGAGAGGATCATTATCAGCAGGTTAACCATTATGTAATATACTCTTTGGCTAGGACACCTATAAACCTAAAAAAGCAATCCAAGAAGTAAATCTCAAAGCTACAAATGTTTGGAAAGAAGCCTTCTGTTCAGCTGATATTTTCCTACATAATTACAGGCATTGGCAAAAACACCTCACTTTTTCACCTTATTAGTTTTACTGAATCAATCCAAGTTTTCATCTACTGCAACCCCACTCCCTTTTGTTAAGTTACATATAAATGATATTTACTGCAATTTTAACAAAATAGAAAAGATTTTGCAAGAAAAAACATTCATGTCACACCAAGAGAATTCAAAAACATGAAGAAGTATTATATGATTAGATTACATTCTGTTCCTCCACTGGAACCATTTAAGTGATCCACTCTTTTCCCAAGCAACAAAAACCATAGGAAGATGTGAACTGTTTGGCATGACAGAAAGCCTGACAGCGTCAGGCCACACCAGACTGCCCCATTTAAGAATAAACCTGGAGACTATTCAAGTTAGTTGGGAACTCAAAAGTATCTCTAAAAAATACTTTGCTAGATTTCCTCTCCATATTTAGAAATTCATTCTAAGCAATTAGGAAGTTCTTGAAAAGTTCATTAAAAATCATGAGTAAATAGCAATCAAGAGAATTCCTTGATCATTTCTATATAGTGTAGAACTCTTCAACAGGTACTGAATCAAACTGCTTGCCTGAAACTCTTTAAAAAAAAGATCAGGTCGAGAGTGAGCCAACTGATAGCTCTATAATAAATCCCATTCACTTGCCTCGGAATCACTTCAAGGTTCAAATAATGGATACCCTCAGCTTGTAAGTTCTGGGAGACAAGAAGTTTCTAGGGTTTCATGAATTATTATATCACATTTGGTCATAACCCAAGACATTTCTAGTATGGTACCAAAAACCACTGTGACAGGACAAACTACCAATAAACTCAATAACTTTGTACCTTTTCTTTCAAAACATGTACTTTTTTTTTTAAGAAAAAAAAATGCAAGAGAATTTGGGTTTTAATACTTAGAGGAACAGCTAAAAGAAGAAGAAAGAGTCACAGACCTGGTTTCGAAGAGGTTGTTGTTGTGATGGCCGTTCTCTGTGTGCGTGGCTTTCTCTGGTTATTGCAGATGTACCAGAATCTACATGAACTGACCCTACTGGAGTAGGCTGGAAAAAGAAAACAAAAAGTCAAGTAGGGAAAATAAGTCTGATTCTGTTCCTCTTGTAACTGACAGTTAAAATACTGTGATTTTACAAATGGAAACTTAGTGATGAGCCTGTGTCTTTAGTTTTCCCTTTCATAAAAAATAGCATGGTCCATACTGGCCCCCAATTCTCAATGTGAGGATTTAATTCATATTTAAAATGTCTTTTAAAGAAGCATGGTATGGTGTGTATTAAGCATATTCAAGGTCTGCGGGGAGACACATTTTCTCACTGCCAGAAAAGCAAAATCTGAGATTTTCTGAAAAAGAAACTTTCTGTGGTGTGAAGTCCTTCTATTTTTCAGAAATTCCAGGTACCTTAAGCCTTACACAATACCAACTTTTGAAGCATATGACCCAAACTTCTCTTAAAATACTTACTAATGTCTTAAAACCTTCTAGCAAAGTTATCCTTGCTTTCTACCTTTGAGAGCAGACTGTGGAATCACACTAAATGGGTTGATAAATGCACTATCTACATTCAAGGTAATTAGTTTTCCAAAAAATTTCAAAAAGAATAGTAGCAAGTGTAAGAGTGAGTGCTGGTCTAAAAGTAAGAGAGGATGACTGGATGGGAGGAGATACTTACAATTGGCCTTCCAACCCAGTCATAGGCATAGTCAAAGGTGTAGCCTTTCCTTTCAAAGAGCTCTGTAAAGAGTGTCCGTAAATAATCATAGTCCGGTTTCTCAAAGAAATCTAATCGCCTGACATATCGAAGGTATGTTGCCATCTCCTCTGTTGGAAAAGGAATTAGCAGAACATCAGAGTGAAAAAAGTATACTTTTTGCACAAGTTTCTTCAAGTACCTAATGGAACTAATAAAACTTACTTTGAGTTCTCTGAAAGAAATGGTTATGAGTTATGTCTTCTTCCTATTGGTCTGGCATGAATCATGTACTACCTTGTAAGTTCTTCAAAAAAGTAATCATATGGTACCTTCATATCCACCCAACCAGAAATACTCATTTCAAAAAGATAAAAATTAATCCCTTTCACATCACTAATGGGCACATAACTCAAAGAAAACTCTAAAAGGGCTTTACCTGGAAAGTTCTCACAGAGAGTTTCAATTGGAGTATTCCTTTTGGTGTCTCCAATCTTCTGATATCTTTCTTTCAATGTATCGGCCTACAGAGTACAAAGAAAAATAATTATTTGAAAATAGGTGTTGACAATGAGACGTTCAATAGATTTGGAGAAGTAATGCTGGTTTTGCTCAAATGAACAGGTTTTTGTTAAGAAGACTCAATTCCCTCTCTATGCCCTTACACCCAAATTAGAAAAAGTGTTAACATAGTATGGTGGCATATTTAGACGTGCATAAACATCTACTTTGTTCAGAGAAACTTTACTTGCAAAATGTATTTAGTAGTCTAGTCACAGACAGAAACATTATCAAATGGATTAAGAGCACTGGGTAAGAATTTTTAAAAAAGGAAATATTTAAACATTTCAAAATTTGTGTGAGACTGAAACTCTGCTGCTATTAGTGTTAAATACTGATTAAATCACATACAATTTTTATTAACTTAAGAACAAAAATATATATAGTTTTATTGCAAATCTTTTAGAGACTTGGGGTAGAAATAAAACAACGATGTTTATATAAACACTTTCAGTAACACACTCTATAAAGGAGGGAAAACACGTGCAAAAGATGAATCTGGGGTATAAAAATAGCTACAAACTAGAGGCAGTGCTAGTTTTATAACATCTTAAAGCATTAAGAGATGAGGTTTATCAAATGTATGTAGGTAGAGAAATTTAATGTGCCTTTGATTGGACCCAGAGCAGGCCCTCAGAATGGTTCTTGTGAGACTATACCAAGAATATTCCGCTCAACTTTACGCAATGGTACTTTAAGGTGAATTGGAAGAACCATAACCATAACCACTAAAAATGGTTTATGAATTTAGAGTCAGGGGAATTTGTAAGAGTTAAAAAGTGAATTTGACATTTTTAAAACTGTGAAAAACCTCAACTACTTGAAAGCTACGATGAAAATGACAGCTATCAAGATCAAACATTATTATTCAGATTTACTGGCTGGCAAATTCTGATTATGTTTGCCATTCCTCATGAATCACATTCATGCATCTTACCTTGGTTCTAAGTATCGGTACAGTATTTTTATGTCTGAATTATTTAGACTCAATGTCCTCATCTGTAAAAGTAGGAGGCTAAAGCAAGATCATCTTTAAGGTTCTAATTCTATGAAACTGAGGCCCAGGCAGGTGAGTCCTAGGACCACACAGCTAAGCAAACTAAACTAAAACTCAGTCCTTCTGAATCCTATATAACTGAGACATAAAATACTGCATGAACACTTGAAGCAAAGGAAAGATGCTTAAGAATAGAATGATTCATGAAGAATGATAGAAAACATACATATGTTGATTTTGATCCTGATCTGTGATTAAACTGGTGTAGGGAATTACATCAACACCGACTGACATTTTGTCTGTGACTTATGAGTGTCTGAGTGCCGCCCAAGGCATTGAGAAGTTAGATGACTCACCCAGGTCTTCTTCAATCCAACACTAGCTCTCTATCCACTATGCCACGCTGTTTTTCCTCTCAGAAATTTATCAGTAAATAAACTAAATAACATTGTTTAACCTTGAATTTTCATTTTCTTCCATAAGGTCTTTAATCTACAATGGAGAAGCAAATTCTTTTGATTCCTTCAGGGGAAGTCCTTCCCTGCAAAAGGCAGGGCAACTGCTGGCATCTACTTGTGGGGAATATTCCTTCTGCCACCTAATGGTAGTGGAGAAGGCATATATGCAGTGACGGAAAAACATAATTAAGGTTAGAAGAGAAAGATTTTTAAAAAAACAATAAAGCGTGTTGGAGGTAGGGGGAGGATTTAATCTAGTAAAATGGATTTCTAATAGGGAAAGAACTCTCAGAAGTAAATACTCAGGGAACATTTAAAAATAACGAATCAAAGGTAAATCACTCCTGGTTCTATTTCTTTAGACCATCTTCCACTTTGTACTTACGGCAACAAATAACACAGTCACCTGTAAATTAGCAAATGAGTACAGAAACAAAACCCTAAATTACGTTTTTTCCACATATACCTTGAGTCCTTGCCAGGGTAGGCTGCCTCGAAGGAAATACATGAACATATGGCCTAAGGCTTCCAAATCATCCCTTCGGCTTTGCTCTAAAAGGTAAAACAGATCAAACAACAGAATTGCAGCTATTAAAGCAAAACTGGAATCACAACCAGTAATTCCCTAAAAACCATTTTGCTCTGGAAAAACTCTCTTTACTAATTCTTTTTATATCTAGGTTTGGGACAATATTTTAGATCACATTGACATGTCCATATTCCTTTGTCTAGATCTGTCATTGGCAAGTAAATCCCATGTGGCAAATGCAAAACTAGAAAGTAGCCCAAACCAACAAATCCTAAACTGTCAAGGTAATAAAGAATTATTATTAAGTGTTTTTTTATTCATCAGAATGCTTTAAAATTTCCTTTCAGTTTTATATAGGCAGCTCACATGATTAAAATCTCTTTCACTCATACATACATACTGTCCCTAAATTACTTTAGAATATCATGTAATATTTATTGAAGTGTCCCACATGGGCATGGCAATTTATAAGCAAACAAAGAGTCACTGCTCTCTGGAAGTTTATCAACTAAAACAAACTCTTGAGTCAGGGGTTTATTTTTTTAGAGTGTAGATAGGAAGAGGAAGGGGAACAAACGAAAAGGCAAAACAAGTATGTGGAAGATGAATGTAAAGAAAACTATATCCATTTCTCAAATATACTGACACTATGATTCCAGTTGTCAATTAGACTAAGAGCTTTAAAAAATTCTAATTTCAGAAGACTACTTATATCAAACCTCTTATGTTTATGAAAGTCTCTAGGCTTATTAAAAGAAATTTTAAGAGTAAAACCAAGAGTTAGTTTGAGCTATCACTTAAATATATTTCTTTTGTGTCTAAAGAACCAACGATCTGATCCAGGTAGGCTGGAGAAACCAGCCATGTAATCCAGGATACAGAGACAGCAGACTTGACTATTATTTCTAATTATCTGGAATTGGTACAGAAAACAAATTAGTAGACTCTAGACTCAACTGTAGAGAGGATTTCTAAATGGTGCTTACGACAATGTCTTTTGAAAGGTTTTAGCTGGCATTAGGGGAGCAGGGTTATGGATTTTTATGACACAAATAAGGGGACAAAGAAACAGTAGCTACCAATCCACTGAAACCAGTTTTTATAAAAAGAATAGAATGGATCTGGAAGAATTAATGATTCTTAGAGTTGAAAGTGGTCTCAGGGGATATCTAAGTTCAACTCACACCTCAGTTGGGTGCTTCTGCCTCTGGGGCCAGGATGAAGTCTACAAGGAAATATTTTGCATGGCTAAAAACAAAACAAAATCCTGCTCACAAAATTAGAACCTAAAACAGAGCTAAAAGAAAAAGCGATGAAAGGCCTACAAACTCATGGAAGAAAAAACAGAGTGGGGTGAAGTCTAAGCAAAGCAATACAGACCAACCTCTGCCTGTAGCCTCTTACGCTGTATCATAACTATTCATTGCTTCTCTATTTTTACATTCACTTCCCTTAAAAAGAGGCCCCTTTGAATGGCTGAACAAGTTGTGGTATATGAACGTAATGGAATACCGTTGTGCTTTAAGAAATGATGAACAGGCAGATTTCAGAAAAACCTGGAAAGATATGAACTGATGCTCAGTGAAGTAAGCAGAACTAGGAGAACATTGTACCCAGTAACAGTCACAATGTATAATGACTAATTTTGACAGACTCATCTCCTCTCAGCAATGCAAGGATCCAAGAAAACTTCAAAGGTCTCATGATAGAAAATGCTATCCATAACCAGAAAAAGAACTATGGAATCTGAATGTAAATCAAAGCACATCATTTGATATCTCTTTTTTTTTGTTTATTTCTTCTTTCTCCTGGTTTCTCCTATTGGTTCTAATTCTTCACAACATGACTAATGTGAAAATAGGTTCAATACAAATGTATATGTAAAGCCTATATCAGATTGCATGCTGTCTTGGGTTAGGGGGAGGGGAGAGATGGGGAGAAAATTTGGAACTCAAAATGTTATAGAAATGAATGTTGAAAACTTAGAGGCCCCTTTGAAGTAAAAATTCAACAGGAATGATTGCGGTTTACTATCGTACACTAGAGGGCACAAGTCTCCAAATTATTATAATGGATCAGGGACACCTAAAAAACTTGTGTAAGCTATTTCAACCCCATTCAAATCAAGATTATGCCTTTTACGTTTAAATACTAGCATGAACTGGGACACTGGGCTTTAGAAGCAACGATGCCTTTGAGATGATTTTTAAAAGTAAAGCTAGATCAGTGTTAATTTCCATCACTTCCTTCCATACATCATTCATATAGGTCATTTTCGTTACCAATGAGGACGAGTTTCAATACCAGTGACCCATGAATTATTTCAGGACAATCAAAGTTTCATGCTATTTCACACAGGACTGCTTTCAAACACTTGAAAAGTTGTGCCTGCTTTCAATGTATAAAAATTCCCCAAATTTAGATATCCTTATTTTAGTGAGAAAAACAGATTACATGACTTAGTCTTTGAGACTGTCATTCAGGGTGACCTTTCACGACCAGGGTTTTTTAAACTAATTATTAGATAAAGTATTTATCAAGACGACGTACTCCCTTTGTGGCCACTACCACTCCCTTCCTAGACACAGACACACTGACACACAGACACATGAAATCTTGTTAAATATACTCATTCAAGATGCAAAATACATTCTACTGGACACATGCCAAACACATGCCTATTCCCTATAGTATCCTAGACACATTGTGACCAACACTCAGGCTCTGATTAGAGACATAATCATTTTTAGCCTTTATCTAGCAACAACTGACAATAATTATTTAAGAGGGATACTCTAACCCCAAAATAATATAGGGTTCCCTGTTTTAGTGTTCCCTCAGTATTCCTACCCATCACCACAGATAAAATCAAGAGAAGATTGCCTAGCCTTGGAGTCCAATATTAGACACTTCCCTCCAAGATATAAAATAACATACTATATAGGAATATATATGTATATATATATGTGTGTATATATATATATGGCATTGTCAGTGTCACTTAAGCAAATGATTGTGTTATCTATTATCTTTTAAAGCCATATGAAATGTATCTCTAAAAAGAGATAGACTGCATGTTTCAATGAGGCATATTCTTGTCCAATTCTATACTCTAATATTTAGCTAAGTCAGGATTTATTTAAAAAACTGAGAAAATATTTCTATTATACTAGATTTCAAATCAAGTAGTGCTTTGCTTTCAAAATCTCCTGAAACACTAGAAACCAAATTTGAACATACAATGTTTTTTACTCATTGACAACTTTGTAGAGTAGCTACTGTTCTATAGACTACATCAAAAGCACAAATCCACATTCAACAAATTCTACTCTTTCCTTAGAAAAAGGAATATATTCAAATATTCCGTTATTATAGTTATACTATAAAAATTATTATGCAATAAGCTGATGTATTCCAGGCAATATAATTATTATGCCTGTAGGTGTGATAACGGATGAAGTTTTTTATATGTATGCTACAGGCTAATTATTAAGTAAGGTCTTCTAGCATGATTAGTAGAAATGCAAGTACTTGTGGAATAGCAAATAAATTTATATTGATTAATACTCATAATCCAGACTGAGGATTAAGCAATTAACCTGGTAAAAGTAGTATAAACAGGGGCAGCTTGATGGCACAGTGGATAGAGCACTGGCCCTGGAGTCTGGAGAACCTGAGTTCAAATCCGGCCTCAGACACATACTCACTTAGCTGTGTGACTCTGGGCAAGTCACTTAACCCCAACTGCCTCACAAAAAAAGAGAGAGAGAGAGAGAGAGAGAGAGAGAGAGAGAGAGAGAGAGAGAAAGTAGCATAAACAGAAACATAATGCATGATTTGTTCTGATTGTTCTTTCCTGTTGTGGAATTAGCCTTAGTAAGGAATTATGGTTCTTACATATACATACATGCCCACAGATGTAACTGCAAAAATCATTAGCTAAATCAAATTTCATTAAGCTTTACATAACAAAATAACACAAAAATGATCATCTGAGCACATAAACATAATCTAAATTATTTAGTGGTCTAACAATATCTTGTTCGATAAGAGGTCTCGATAGTCTGTAACTTGCTGCCTTAGTTTCACAAATCATTAAAAACAATTACCTAACAAAAATAGTAAGCATTAAGATTTGAAATACATGATGAAATCAAGGTGGGAAAAGTGCTATGGAAATGAACAGTCATTCTTAGTGAACTGTCCCTTCCATGGAAGAAAAATGAACACACCTTTGCCAAGATGGGTATTGATGGACATATATCTTGCTGTTCCAGTTAAGCTCTTGTGTTCCCTGTACGGTATATGTTTTTTGGTTTCAGGGTCAATGTATTCCTTGGCCAGGCCAAAGTCTATAATGTGTATGACATGCTCCTTCTTGTTGCCTTGTCGGCCAATCAGGAAGTTCTCTGGCTTGACATCTCGATAAATGAGGTTCTTTGAGTGCACATATTCCATTCGAGAAATCTGAAAGAAGAAGAAAAAAAAAAACCTCGGTTACTGAGAAATACTCCCACACATCTGTTGCTGGACTTGGAACAACAACAACAACAACAACAACTCCAAAAGAAAAAAAAATCCGAAAAGACCATGCCTTTGGGATCTGGACCTCAAAAATGAAAATCCTTGGACTTTTTCAAATCCCTGGTGTTTGCCAGAAGCTGTAATCCACTCAACTGGCCTTTCATAGTGGCTATGCCCAATTTCCCAATCCTGATTGTCCCTGGCCACTTCCCATCCATAATCCTATCTAGACTCTATTCTCCCTTGGCCCCGTGGTCCAGGTCCCTGGCCTTCTGTTCACACCAGCTTACTGGCCACTCCCATCCAGCTCCTCCTTAGACCCCTCCTCCAGTCACCCCAAACTATTTGGCCCCTCCTAGACCCCTCCCACAGTCTTTCCATATATAAGGTCCATCTTGTCTTCATTAAAGTGCTCAGATTCTTAAAATCTAGCCAATAGCTCACTAATGGTCAGATTCCTTAAGAGTCTGGCCTATGTGGCTGATCTTTAATAAACCTTGTCTTTGGCTGAAAAAGAGAAAAAGAAAAAAGAAAAGAAAAACAATCCCACAATAGAGGAAGTGAAATAAAGTTTAATTTGTTCCAGACCACAAACTTACCTGGAAAATGATTCACAATTCACAAATGGTGAAGAGAACTGATTGTATTTACTCTAATATGTACTCTACTTTAGATCTGCAGTCAACAACTAAGTCCCAGATATCTTAGTGCAGGTGTCCATAACTGGTAGTTAAGAATGAATCAGCAGATCTTGGAACCTTGCCTGGTATATCTATAAGTTAAGAGCCCCTGCTATTTATCTCCCTCTGCACCACATTGTGCTAAATATGCCAGTGGGGAAATCACAGGATGTCACAGGGAAAAGGGACTTTAGAGATCATCTAATTCAAATCCTCAATTTTATAAATAAAGAAACTGAGGCAGAGAGGGTAAGTCACTTGTTGCTGAGCAGGAATTAAAATTCATGCTTCCTGACTCTAAATTCAATCCTCTTCACTATGATGCCTATGCTACTTCCTTTCAGCAGGACACTGCCTTCCCCTCCCACATAGTTACTGTCAGCATCACTCCTACTCCACAGTGTTATCAAGACTATAGTAAAATGCAAAATAACTCCCCCTCATAAAATGATTAGAAATCCTTTAGTGGCTACTGCCACATAGCAACCTACAGCCCAGAATTTAAAATGGAAAGCTATTTGTCCATTCTGCCATTTACCACTAATATTAACTGTATGATTCAAAACATATGTACTAAAAAAAATAAAGCATAAGATTGGTCACTTAAATAAATGTTAAAAACCTAAAACTCAATTTTTTCCCACTTTCTACTTCTGTCTTAAAAAGTAAAGATTTTTATATTGCCGAAGTAAACATAATGCATAAATGGTAAATCGTTAAACTACCACATTTTTTGTATTTGTTAAATGGACATAACAATAATATGTGCATCACCTACTTCACAAAATTGTTGTGAATAAAGTACTCTGTAAAGCAGAAGGTGACATGTAAAAATGAGCTACTAGTCATGTTACTACTATTATCTTTGTAAAAAAAGTTTTATTTTTGCAAAGGCTTTTCTAATCACTAATGAAAAGTTATAGGACTTTAGATATCTGAATTTTAGACTGAGAAGACAGGGCAGATGTTTTTACCCTAAGTCTTGGTGGGCTTATTAATTATGACCATTTGTTGATAAATAATCATACATCTACCTACATCTTTCTCATAATGAATGGGTAGTCTTCTCATGGGGGGTTATTCATCTGATCCTTAAATTGGTTTCAGTTTCTAAATTTAAAGTACTCTTCCTTTCTCAAAAATGAATAACCATTCTCTACAACTCCTTTCAAAACAGAGGCAAGAACAGACTTTTTATCATGGCAGAATCTTCCTTATGCTGCTTCAAGCCCTGCAACAGCCACTCAGTGTGTTGTATCTCATGTCTTTTCATGAAGCCAACCAAATGGAAAACTTACTACCATTTGTTAAAAATCTGTAAGTAAGTCAATTTCATCTAGATGATTTCGAGAATTATATTCTCTCTCCTCCACTAAATTATTTGCTTCACCTTTAAGGATGGGGTACTGCCCAAGGTGTAGATTGTTTTGATATATCAGAATATTTGTAAATTTTTGTTGGGAAATACAGGCCTGGTGTTACTTTTCTTTGTTTAAATCAGATGTCTCTGGAAGCTTCCTAGAATGGCATAAAAAAATCTAAAGTCAGGCATACTCAATAAATCATCACTAATTAATACACAGTAAGGAAACATGTTTATAAACATATATACATACACACACACACACATATATATACACATAGGCATATATACACATACACATGGAAGGCTTATATAAGGTAGCATATCCTGTCACCACAGTCTTTACTTACCAACTGGATGGCTATCATTAACACAGTCTTCAAAGTAAACGTTCGGTCACAGAGGTCAAACAAGTCCTCCAAGCTAGGGCCAAGAAGCTCCAGTACCATAGCATTGTATTTCCCACATGGCCCAAAATAATACACCTGGGGTAGGCCTTCAGCTGAAATTAAAGAGGGGAGAGGGAAATTAAAAACAAATTAAAAATCAAAACACATGGCAACACTGGCCTGAATTCAATGGGGATAATGCCATTACAGTCTTTAAGATGAGATTTATTTCCATTTTCTTCCATAATTCTTAGCCAATAAGTTAACCAATTAGTATGAGTTTCAATGCAAACTAACTAGAGTGGGGGCTGGGGTTTAGGCATGGTCCCTTACTTAATACCTGAGTACCAATCACATTCCCACTCCTATACAGAACAGAAAATTGTCCATGATCCATTATCAGCTCATAGAGCAAACTATTCAACCCAAAGGATGCCTGGAAGTACACTATTATAAAAGAGTCAAGTAATGGCTCAGTGATCTTAAAATCAAGCTAAAAGATCATGTTGCATTAGCTGGTTTCATTAACGCTCCCCAAGCTTGCTGCTAAAGTAACATTTTGCAGTTTGCATTTGTTGCCCCACAATGAGCTCAAATTAAATTCTCAAGTAGAGAGGTTGCAGAACATGCTACTCTGGCCATAGGCCAGTACAACAAGGACTCTTTTACTATGGTAGTTGGTGCTTCCTGTTTTCTTATTATCTGCTAGAGACAAATCAACAGATACTTAGTGTTTGACTTCTGACAAGTAATTGTGAAAGGCAAAAGGCTGGACTTTTCACCAGATTTGTAATCCACAGCTACAAGAAGCCAATTTCTACTTTTCCACTTTAATGATAGGAGTTTCTTCCACAGTGTTTAGATTAGACAAGAGAACATTTTCAAATTATATGGCCTCCAACTACTTAAATAATTGGAGGAAAATTCAGTGCTCGAGTGGGTTATGCCAATACAATAAAAGTGACAATACTACCAAAGCTAATTTACACTTTTATGGCTATGACAATCAAATTACCAAGGGGATACTTTATAGAATTCAATAAAATAATATAAAATATCACAAGGAAATTATGAAAAGAGGTAAGGATGAAGTGAGAAAAGCACTTCTAGACTTCAAACTGTATTATAAAGCAGATGTCATTAAAACAATTTAGTATTGGTTAAAAAGTACAAAGGAAGATTAATGGAAAGGGGACTAGAAAAGGAAGAATCAAAAACAATGTAACTCAATAAACCAGTGTTCAAAATACTGGAAAATATAAATTATTTTAAAAAGAAGTCCCTATTTGATAAAAACTCCTGAGAAAACTGAAAAGTAGTCTTGCAGAAATCTGCCAAAGACCAACCTCATAAAACATAATGCACAATAGATTCTAAATGGATATATGACCATAATATTAAAAATTAAAAGAGAAACAGATCACATAAAAGTATGGGTAGGAGATTTGTTCTTAAATAAACAAGGGATAGAGACAATTACTGAAGATAAAAAAGATAATTTTGATTACCTGAAACTTAACAATCACATGAAAATTTAGTCCAAATCATTAAAAATAACTGAAACAACCCTGAGGATTCATCTCGTAACCCTCCAAACCGGAAAAGATGACAAAAGATGGGAATAATTGATGTTGAACAAAATGTGGGAAAATAGGGACACTAAAGCATTTCTAGTGGAACTGTAAATTGGTATAACCATTTTAGAAAGCAATGTGGAATTATGTAAATAAAGTGACCAATATGTCCTTATCTTTTGACCCAGAATTCCACTATTAAGCTTATACCCCAAGGAAGCCATTGCTAAGAAAGTCTCTATATACATTCAAAATGTTTATGGCAGCATTTCTTGTGACAGCAAAGGACTGGAAACAAAATAGATGCCTATAGATTGGGGTATGGCTAAAAAAATTGTGATAGATAAATGTAATGGAATATTATTGTGTTTTAAGAAACTGACAAATGTGAAGAATACAGAGAACATGATCTATATGAACTGATGCAGAATGAACTTAGGCAGAAACAATATACACAATGACCACAGCAATGTAGACAGAAAGATGACCACAATAAAATCAAAAGTGAATGTTGCAAAATGATGAAGAGCAAGCATGACTCTAGATAAGAGTACAAGGAGATACTACCACCACCACTCCAACCCTTTGTAGAGGTGGGAGGTCCACTGAATATGGTTCATTGCACATATTTTCAGATTTTTTTGGAGGTGTTGATCCATTATACTGATTTTTTCTCCTTTTTTAATCTTTAAAAATATTATAGGGTCCTATATTATATAATACATGGCTTTCTAGGAAGTGGAGTAAAAGGAATAATGGGAGAAACTATAGTAATGTTAAAAAAAAAGGAATAACTGGAAATAAGAAGGGGAAGGTTACCATTAGGAAATGAATTTAATATAAAAGCAAAAAATAGCAATAAAGCGGTTTGTTTTGTTTTTGCAGAAATCACTGCAACCATTCACCTCCTTTTTCTTGCTAGGAATTGATTAGACTGTTTTACCTTCATTAGCTCCAAAAAATTTCATATGAAAACACTGTATCTTTCACTCTTTGCTCTGATACATTTCATTTTGCTTAAAATATATAAAGCACAGCAACTACTCTATTAAATCCTTCTGAGAAATTCAAAGTCTAACACTGCATGCTGCAAATCTGTATTTTTTTGTCAAAATTAGGGTGAATATGATTTGGATTGAGTTTCCTTAGTTATGGTAGCACACAATCCATTTAATCAGTATTTGATGTCGTCATCATGCCTGACCTTCTCAGAATAAATATTCTAATCATCGAAAGATGACTGTTCCCTTAGTTGGATGAACTACATACAAAATCTTAAGACACTGCAGACGAAGTCTAAAATTTATTACCAACAAGATCACTTTTTTGATCCTTAGAGGAAAGGAATCTCATTCTTACATCATCTCATGACACTTTTGACCTCAATCAAGCAAATTAAGAGTTTCCATGTTCATAAAAGGATTGTAATATCTGCTAATTTTTTTTATAATGATATTTTACCTATAGTTCTCTCTGTATTTTGGAAGAACTGAGAAACTCCTACTCTATCCCTAATCGTTTAGGGCTGAGGTGTCTCTCTTTCTCTTTCTGATCATGCACTCCCACAGGGAAAAAAAAATAAGCACATACACTCAACAATTTGTACATTATTCATAAATTACACATATATATAACTATACTAATAATTATGGACAGTAAAAAACTTACACGACAGTAGAAATTAAAGACTGGTACAGATGAACCATTACTTTGAAAACACCTTTTTATTAATTGTTTAAAAATCTTTTTGTTCTCACTAAAATATTGTTAATAGTAATACTTTAACAAATGAAATGAAATAGTATATGCTTCATTATTTTTGAAAACATTTGTTCAGTACTTTTGACACAGTAATTTCAATTTCTGATGCCAAGTTCAGTTTACTTTCATACTTGGTTTTAATGGCTGGCATAACTGAAAAAGATTACCTTACAAAGATCCAACTGGAAGAGGTACATAATTGGCTGTATTTACAAAATCATAGTTCTCATTTTTCAATCCCATTCACCACGTCTGCAAAGGTTTTTCTTAAATTTGGCTAACAAATTTCCATCTTCCATGATGTCAATCAATTGGTCTTGCAAACTAATCTAGAGGTGTTGCATTTTTTATATTTTTAACAAATGGATTCGAAATCTACTAAAACCCTTCATTCCTAAGATTTTTAAAGTTAGAAAATTCTGTTTTCAAGTTTTTGAAGTTTTATAGATGACGCAAATAATCTCCAGCAACTCAGACAGAAATGTAAGGATTTGAGAGGAGAGAGAAGTCAACAGTGTCAAATGCAAAGAGGTCAAGTATGATGTGAAATGAGCAAAGGCCACCAGATTGGGCAACTGGGCAGAGATTCCTGGTAATTTTAAAGAGAACAGTTTTAGTTGGGTGAGAAACAAAAGGTAACGAAGGGAAAAACTGAGAAAGATAGTGTGGTACCTTCCACATAAATAAGAAATTTTGGAAGAGAAGTACAGTTCTGGGGAAAGATAATGACATCTGACATATGTAGTGACCCATCTAATGTCGGCTCATCCTGTGGTCCTCACTCTCACTGAAAATGAATAAATGAAAAAGGATTTAAGTACCTATTGTGTGCAGCACAAGTACAAAAGCAAGGCAGTCCCTGTTATCAAGGAGCATATATTCCAATGAAAGAAACAACACACAAGACACTTCAGCTATAAGTCTAATGGTCCTGAGGGTGCAGTCATAATGTAGATGCCACATCTTGTTAAATGTTTCATTAAAAAAAGCGTATTGGTTTCTGATGATAAAACATTAGACGATGACAATCATGTGGTTAGAGATTTACCATTAGAAATCAAAATAGGAGGGGCAGAACCAAGATATCTGAGTTCTCCCAAATTCCCCTCCAAACAACATAACACCTCAAAACAAATTCTTAACTGGCCCAAGAAAACTTAAAAGGTCAGAAGGAAAGGTCTGTCTCACTGGGATGAGAGTGGAGCACAGTTCAGGGCAGGCCTTGCCTTGGCAAGCCAGCAGCAGGCCTTGGGGGTTTGCTGAATCAGTGGTGGCAGCTTCCAGAGCACTCAGCCCACAAATGGTAACGAGGTTAGACAATTGGTCCAAAAGAGATTACAAGGGTCCCTCTGATGGCACTGGGTACAGCACTCTCGTGCACTGCCCATACAGGGTCATGGGTTGCAGTTTCAGGGCAAAGAGGAACACTAGCACACTAAAGCATGCAGCCAGCCGCAGGGGATTGAGGGACCGTGGTCACAATTCCAGGGTGAAAAAAAGTGCTTGTGGTCAGTCAGAGATCAGAGCACAGGCCAGGAGAGCTATGACCACACCTCTCCTTACACCATACCACTTTGGAAGAACTGAAAATTTATAGACCTCCAGAAGTAGCTCTGAAAACAACAGCACAAAAAACCTGAAGCTTGTGAATATGCCTCTTCCTTCACCCCAGGACCAGAAGACAACTTTAACATAAAGTTAAAAGTCAAGAAATAGGCTGGGGAAAATGAGCAAACAACAAAAAAAGGAACCTGACCATAGAAAGCTACTATGATGAC